AGAGAGTCGGAGTGCCACCGTGTCCGGTGGTGTACTCTGGTGGGACCCATATGCCACCTAGGACCACTAAATGCGGACCTGGTCCACCTGATGTTTGTGGGCTTGGGCTTGGTCTTCTAGTGTGAAGCCGATACTTCTGTTTGTTTAAAAGTTGTAACACAATTAATTAAGTATTACCTATGAGTTTAAAAAGGTATAATAAGCATATTGTGGTGACTTGTGATGTAGGTTACCTGGAGATGGCTTTTGACTTCATCATTGGTCAAACCATCAACTTTCATAAGCTCCCGTATCTGTTTTGGAGTAGCTACTGCAATAATATAACAAACCCCATATAATGGGATATCTTTTATCAACTCCGTTTAAAAAATGAAACCGTATTTTACTTAGGCTAAAATGGTTCTGTATGTAAATTGAAATCCAAACTTAAACCAAAAATACAAAATTCGATTTACATGTATTTGAAAATTCACTATATATATTTGAATGGATCATACTACATCTACATATATTCTATATCGTGTCAAGTTGAACCATACTTTATTCTAGTTACCATATTTTTTTTATAAACCGAAAACCTAAAAAAGATTCAGACCAAAACTTGAGTTATTTGAAAGAAAACCCCATAACAAAACTGAATCATGGCAAAACGATCCATGCTATATATTTCTCACTTAAAAATTCGAACAAAACCCAAACTGAAACTCGTGAATATAAATTCAGAGTTGTATATATTTACTGTGTACAATAATATATAATGTTTTTTGGCAAATCAAATATCATGGTCTAATGATAAATCAGTATGATTACTTGATAATTTTGTGAACTATCTATATAGTAAACCTACATCAAACTAAAAACCTAATTAGAATAAGTCTAGTAGATTGTACCTTGAGAACCACCTAACATTTGAAGAGCTTGGACAAATCTCCGGTGCAAGTCCGGTGACCAGCAACGCCGTGCCTTTCGATTACTTTGACTCGTTGTAGAAGAAACTCCATTGCTATTTGA